TCACCCAAATTTTTGCAAGACTTGAGTATGTGTTATCTTATTCAAAAATATTGTGAGTGATCACTCGATTAAAACCGTATGGTTTTGGACATGGCGATATTATATTAGAATTTGAGTATGTCTCGTTTTGTAACTTTCTTTGCGAAGAAAACAATGTGAAAGCGTTGTCTCAACAACCAATCACACAAACTCGTAAAAAGACACAGACAACCGACAAAGTACAAGAAAAACACTCCCCAATTTCATATTATTGCTTTCACAATACAAGGAACTCACAAATCTGGTCAAGGACTCTCTACCAACGTATTGTCCCGGCATCCCCTATTTATGCGAGGAATAGGACAGCTGACACCCCCAACAGCCAAAGACCTTCAACATTTGGAAGCCCTCAAATACATATCAGACTAAGAGGTTAGATATATAAATAATGACGAAAAAGTAATCAATGTAAAATAAATTGAAGACGCCAGAGACATGAAAGAACAAACGAAAGTAAGGATGAAAAATAATTGAAGGTAATTTAAGAATAAATTATTGGGAAAAAGACCAGTTAGTCATATTTTTCCACAAGAGGCTGCTAAATTTTATAGAATTTTGTTAAAATAATTACATTTTATAAAATTTTACTTGACTTGACTTTGTCCTATTTATAGATGACAAAATTGAGGTCTGAGAAGATGATGCTTCATCGTTATGCATTCACATCCTTGTGTATTTAATCTTGGTGGCACTTGGAATTTCTATTCACTAAATGTTGCTTCTCTCTCTCTCTCTCTCTATATATATATATATATATATATATATATCCCAAAATAAGATTTTCTTTTTATATATTTACTAAGAATAACTCATGTTTGAAGATACAGTGCAATGTAAGTGAGAAGTGATGAATTTGGAGAGGGAGAAAATTCAATGTAAATAGTTTTGAGATAAATATTGGTGACCGTTAGATTAATTTATTTAAGATCGTCAGATGATTTTGTTGAAACTTACCCTATTTTATATTACAAATTAAAATTTCTATTCACTAAATGTTGCTTCTCTCTCTATATATATAGGACTTTCCTTTTACTAATCTGATACATTAAGATCGTTTCTCATAATTGACGAATGTGCAAGTGGTATTCGACCAAACTAATATTGTACAAAACCATTAGTGGGTTTACAGAGTTAAAACATCCGCCGTGTTATGACACTTTTGAATTAATGAGTTCTGCTTGGAAAGAAATTAATTTGGTTTAACGGCCAGGGATGTTTAAATCAACTTACGCATATTTCAACTAATCTTCTTCTCGGTCCAGTTAAAGACCAGACCAAAAGAGAGGACTAAGGTATTCATAAGGGATAAATTCTTCAATATTTCTTTGGGTCTAGGTCATGAGGAATGTATCACTCATGAATATCTTAATTTTAGTGTAAATGACCTGCCTTTGACTAGATCGAGACGGAGATTAGTTGAGGACTGGAGATAAACGTAAACTGACCTAGACTGTTGAACGAAAAAATAGATGTACATTATTTACCACTTTATAACATGTGAACTTATTTATGAAGTAAATATTTAATATAGCGATAGTACCACGTCAGCATTATCAGGTAATGTCATCATTTAATAATAAAATTATAAAGTAAACTCATCTTCATTAAGGTTAGCATAGTGTCGATTCAATCTTGGTGTTTGGACTCTGAGTTGGACATTTCAATCTTCTGATTCATAAATTGAAGTGCTTCGAATTCATTAAATTCAATCCATTTTCCATTGAAATAGCAAAGGACTTGTGGTTTACAGTTGTGTTAAAGTTTGGATATGTTTTGTCAATTGCAAAGTGGGGCATAGCATACCAAAGCTCTTCTCTCCCAATGATGAATGTGAACATGGTAATCGACCTAATGTGGTACAAAATCAATAGTGATTAGTGGACATATGGATTGAACATCCGACCTACCACAACTTGACACGTGGTATAATTTGATCGAATTAATTAATTTTTTTTAAAGATATCAACTTGATTAGTTTGACATTAGAATACTTTGTAATCATCATAAGATTGTGTGTTACTATTTAATGAAGGAAATAAAAAAATAAAGTAAAAACCACTTTCATGTGCATTATGTATATTAGAGAAAATTTCATCCACACTTTCTATAATTAAGTCTAATTTCAATGATATTCCTTCTCGATTTTGAAATTTCACTGTCACTTAACATGGATCAAGTACGACACAATAGTGCAAAATCCACCCTTGCAAAGCCATATATCAAGCAATTGTAGGACAAAAAAGATGCCTATTGTATGAAGATTAGATACCTATCATAGTCTCTCAAATCAAAAACTCTTATCTCCAAGGTGAGGATTACCAATTTGCAAAAATAATCAGCTCAATTATCGTTGCAACGATCCAATTTTGGATTACTTTTTTGATTTAAGGAATACTGTGTTATCTTCTTTAAGAATATTGTGGGTGATCGTTGAATTAAAGCCCGGCGTTTTCTTTTAATTTTTAATGAAATAAGATTGCGACATAATATTAAATTTATGCAAGAACTAAATGACACTGGCAATAACAGATGATTGAAAGCAATATATTCCACAAAAAACCACTAAGCTCTATTTTATTTTTTAAAAATAATTACATTCTACATCAATAATGCACCAAATTTGACTTCATCATTAGAATTTGACTAACGATGAAGAAAAATATAATTGAAATTATCTGGCCCATCCTTGAAAGATTTTTTGTACAATAAATAATGTTAGTGCTTTACATGGCAAATTCTTTTTTATTTAAATTGAATTTTATGATATTTCAACCACCGTTTATGATTTTGGGGCTTGATTACACCTTTTCTTCCTAAAGAATCCTTCTATTTCAAATTTGGTCCTCAATTTTTTTTTTTTTTTTGTAAATTGTGTCTAAGTTTTTGGGTATTACGATTATGGGTGTCTGAGTCAGTTTATGAGTAGTTCGACTAATTCTTTCACTAATCCTCTCATTAGTTTGGTCAAAAATAGACTATTTACATTAGGATTAAGAAATTCATAAGAGATAAATTCATCATAGTTTTGCCTCAAAGGAGTTGTTAAGTTTTGAACTCAAAATATTTGAATTTATAGTTCATCTATGTCTCCACCAAGCTACCCTCTAGGGTTCTCTTCTAAATTTTAGAGTTGGACCAATACAATTTAATCAGTAACAATAGATAAATTTCGATGTAACCTTTGAGAGTTAGAAATCATGATCAAGTCACATTTTAAGATAATATTCAAACTACTTTTTTTTTCCCCCACTCTTGTGCATAAATATTTACACAAGAAAAAAGCAAAATTAAAACATATTGATGGTATTTTCATAATTTAAACAAAACAAGCAAAAGATAAATAATCATACTATCTGTATTTTGTGCAATTGTGTAATTAATGCTTTTTCAAAAAAAAATAAACATAAAAATTTTTAGTAAATTTCCAAGAAATAGCAACAAAAAAAAAAACAGAAGAAAAGAAAGGAGGTGGTGGCAAGCTGATGTAATGGTCTCTGGATTAAAATATTCATTGTGATTATTAAAACATACACCAGCTGCAGAGTTGAATATGGAAGAGACCAACACAACACTGCAGAACCGGAGGATGAAGCAGCAGCAGAAACTAAGAATGGAAAAAGGATAACATTATTAGTGAATTAGTTAATTAGGTAGGTAGGTAGTTAGTTTTTTTAATTTTTGCTGAGTTGTAGTGCTTAGCTGGCAGTTGCCATGTGAAGTCACGTGGAGCGTTAGTTTTTTTTTTTTTATCAGTAAGACAGTAAATTTCATTCAAGTAGAAAGATTTTGATTACAATCAGACGAAAGCAAAGTCTTAAACTCTAACGGGGGACAACTGACTCAATTCACAGCAATAGAATCGGATAGTGTAGCTGCTACCATCCAGTGGAGCGTTAGTTTGTTAGGACTTAGTATATAAAGTTCACTTGTGTAATTGATTCCTTAATTCAATGAAGAAATTTACACAAACATTCTCCATCACTTAAGCACTCTGATTTTCTTATCTTTTTCTTCATTGAAAAAGGTAAATTGTGAGATAAATCTTCGAATTTAAATGATCTTGGTTGTTGTTTTGCTTTGATATTTAGGAGCTTCCTGTTTTTATTGTATTGATGTTTATAGATTGTAAAAGCCTATAATGTCAAAATTTGTTTAACTCAATACACAATTAATTTATAATCATTTCAAATCCAGTTCGTGTAGTGTTAAATCTATGTATACGTACATCATATTTAGTTGGGTTTGCTAGTTGTTTTGTGAGTTCGTGTCGATCTGGATCCAATGAAGTTATTGTTTACTACCAAAATCTGTTAAAAGATAAACACAAACTTGTTAAATCCGTGTTGATTTGTTAATTCCGTGTTGATTTTGTATCCGCTAGTGGATGATGTCCAGACCTGCCAGCCCTATATATAGGTAAGCAAACTCAACACTTTTAAACTGCTTAAAAAGGTATTAAATAGATGTGTACGGATGTTAATTAGGTGGGGATATATTGTAGGTTTGGTCGATCTCCACCCGAAACTGGCGAGATAACGCCAAACCCAATTCCCAAGCAATGGATACATTACTTAGGATCTAAGACCCAAATGGCTATCCAGGATTTGGGCTGGCATGTGGTGGCACACAACCTAGCCTACAGATTGGCCCTGGCCTGCCAGCCAAACCTCCCCTTAAAAAAAAAACATGCTAAATACCCACTGTTAACTTGCTAAATGAGGTTTCTATGAGAAGCTATTCAAGTCCTATTAACCATACAAAACTTACACCATAGCAATGAAATGTGTTTCACAAATGCGGTTTCTTTAGAGCAAGAAATGGAGGAGAAAGAGGAGAGGGTGTGAGTTTTATAAGTGGATGCATGTGCGTGCGTGCGTGTATAAAAGATATAGGATGTTGTGGGTTAGTTAAGAGGAGGCCAAAACCAATTGTTTTCTGCACTATGCCACAACAATACATCATGGACATGTTGGATTGGAGGACCTAATTAGGGTCATATACAAAACAAACATGGTCAAATAAAGGCAGTCACTCCAATGTAGTCAAACATCCCAATATACATCTTAAAAATAACACTCTCCAAACTCATTCTCTGGTAGTTTTAAAAACCTGAAAAACAAATATAGTAGACATCAAATTGGAGATTAGGAGTGTACCAAGAGCTTGCAGCCTAGCTTGTTCATGTCTCACTGTACACAGAAAAATAACATAGCCAAGTAACAAAAGCTCACAGCCAAAGCCCTTTGTGTGCAAGCAAACCTTTTAGAGTCTCAGTGTGAGATCTGGCAGACACTCGTTGATATTCACTGAGTGAGTCATCTCTACGAAATTCATGTTTGAACTTTTGGTGAGCAGAAAACTTGGACGAGGACTACTAGCAGCTTCAGCCACCTCGCGAAAACTGCCAGGCCATGGCAGTTCTGCTTCATCATCCTCCACAAAAATTGGCTGATTAATGTGGCCCTGTTCAAATCTTGCACTGTTTCTGAAATCGCCTGGAATCAATGGTGGCATGTAGGTTGGGTGCGTGGAAGAGTGTGCTTTAATTCCTAGAGACCTTAATGAAGACCCGTGCAAAGGCAGAGAAGCCAGACTGGCATACCTCTCTTGAAAAATACCCATTCGCATAGCCCGTTTTGCCAGTGTTCTTTCTCTCTTATGTGCATTTTGGTGGCCACCAAGAGCCTGTGAACTGTAGAACTTCCGTTGACAGTAATTGCAAGGGAAAACCCGAGGGATGGGTGCTGCTGTCGTTTGGGTTGATGGTTCATTGCTACTCTCACTTGTACTGGACATTGAAATTCCTATTGAGGCACTTCCTATTAATTCATCATTGTTGGAGCTGAAGCTAAGAGCTAAGTCAAGGGAAACAGGTTCAGAACTTGATTGAGGGGTTATGAGATTTGTGACATGGGGAAGGTTAGTGAGGCTATCCTTTGAAAGACCCCGGAAGGTTTCTTGGATAGATATATTAGAAGCAACTTGGCTGCTAACATCAGAGTCATTTTCCGAGGAGGCCTCCATTTTAAGATCAAACTTTGATGAGTTCATGATTAAATTCAGCAGCAGAAATATTAGAGCAAGTGGGAGGTTTACATTCTAAATGAGCAAAGCCAGATTGAGACGATAAAACTCACTACCATGAAGCTAATCTCTTGCCCTGCATTTGTGAAAAATTATACAGATGCATCAAGATTTCCAACATTTAGGGATATGCAACACTGGCAGGAAAAGAATCAGAGGAAAGAAAACAACCCAAAAATCAACTCAATGCAATTTTTGATACCTTAAGTGGCCTTGCACCTGCATTGAGATGCAACATGTTTTTCGAAGAGAGAGCATAATAAAATCGAACAGGATTGGCACCTTGATTCAAATGGAATGAACCACACAAGGTGACAGAATAAGCTGCATAACTTGAAAATAGTTGTACTACTACAATTTTAGTCAAATTACAGAAAACATGCCCACATTGTTAACATAATCCTTTTTTTGCTCCAACAAATTTTTGATATGATCAAAGAACAAGATATAACTAATGCTTCAGTTTCTAAATGCAGCTGCAAAGAAAATCCCGATACCTGATAATTGCAGCCACGAAGGGAATTCAAGACATGAGATGAAACCAAAGTCTTAAAACTGTTGCGATTCATTGTGGTGAAAAGCAAAACGAAAAGAAGAAAAACAGAACAGCTCAAAATAGGAAAGCAAGATTGACATCATATTGAATCCAAGCGCTAGCATATCTGGTGAAGATACAGTTCTATTTTCCTTGGTGGGAGGCTAAGATCATCTACTCAACTCAACAAATTCTTGTCCAATTTTCTGAGATCGGTTACATGAATCTTCTTTCATGGAGAGTCGAGATTCAAATCATAGAATGATTTTCGAAAGGCAGACATAAACAATGCTCAAGAGATCAAGTTGAAGGCACAATAAAAACAAAAACAAAAAACCTCATCCAATTATATCATACTGTGACTATAGAGTGCTCTGAAACAATAACTATTAACTAGTGGAGGAGCCATGTTGGGGGCCAGTTCTAAATTTTTTGAGATCTTTACCACTGAATTTAAGGGGATTTTTATTTGGCCCCCCAAAGCAAAAGCATTAGCATTTTCTACTAACAATTTTTTATTTCACCCAACCCCACACCCACTTAGAAGTTCCTGGTTCGGCCATTAGCTCTAACTCTGGGCAAGTCATAAATTAGAAGGTACGACATGAAGCAATAATTCCAAGTGCAAACTGAACAGTCAATTATTTCTGAAGCACTTCAAATTTTAAAATGAGAATTTCTAAGAGTCCACCAACAAGTGTTTCATATGAAATTCATCGATCGATTGGGTATAGAAAAGTATTAGAAAAATGTAAAGAATTCATCTGAAAAAAAAAATTAATCAAGAACATTCATGCTACAACATATATTCATCCAAAAATTCACAACGTTGAAAAGGAATGCCTTTATGTATGCCTTTGTCTTTATGTATGCCTTTGTCTATGCATTTATGCCTTTAAGAGGTCAGGCAAGAGGAGCGAGCCGGTCTCTGATCCAGGGATTCGAGGAGAGAGAAGCAAACTCACTTAGGAAGGTGGAAGCACAGGGAAGGTATATCGATTAGTCCTAAGAAAACCCATAAAAGATGTAATAAACTTTAACCCTTTGGAGGTGATTACATTTATACCATACCCAAAATCAAGGAAGGCCAGAAACCACAGAAATAGTGGGAAAAACTGACTAACGAATGACATTGATATATGATGAAAACTGAAATGACACATAGTATTACATCATGATGAGAATCAAGTGAAACTAACCAGGTTGTAATATGTAGCTTTCGTACAACATCAGAGGACAGAGCACCGTTCTGGGCTTCTTTGCTTAAGCTGCAAAGAGAGGGCCAGTTTAGAGTAGAGAAGAAAAAGGAAATGCCAAGAGAGAGGAAGAAAGAAGGTGGGTATGGATGTTTAATTATGGGAAAGCAAAGGTGAGAAGGGTGGAGGGGACAATGGTGAGACGTCAGAGAAGTCAGAGAAAAGTTTGGTGTTTTGGGGTAAATAAATTGATAAGGCAAAAGAAGATGACATAAGATACTCAACAGCCACCACCACCACACCCTGTTTGTTAAGTTTTGGGCTCTTCCCAAGAAAAACTCAACTGCTTACACACCTACAAGTGGGATACAAAGGTAGAAGCAAAACAAGCATTCAGTTCTAGTCATTAGACCCACCAAAGATTCTCTCTCTCTCTCTCTCTGTGTCAACTTTAAAGGTGGCTGAGGTAAATTCACAGTGCATGGGGACGGCTTTCATTCACTTCTACATTCATTTCATGACATGCAGATAATGCTACCGCCAAATACATGACAGTATATGGTTTTTGTTTCAATACCTCCTAGTCACAGAAGTACAAAGGGCACAAGTCCCTCGCAGCACCATTTATTTCACTATGCAGCCGCTTTCTTATAGTCGGGGGCGATTATAATACCGAAAAGTTATTCCTCTTCCGATCTATAATGTAATCTTTCTTTTCATCTAATTAAATGTAGCACATGTAAAATTTTCTTACTTTCTTCTCCATTTAGGTTTTCCCTTTTTTCCTGCCAAAATTTTACTAGTACTTATCCCTGCAGACCTGCTCACGTATCCTTTTTTCTGTTTTTCTCTTGTGGGGACTGTGTTCTTTCCTTTCAATAATACGGAAGTATTGGTCCTATCGAAGTAGACAATGGACAACTCTATTGTACCCAAGAAAAAAAAAAACGGACACCGTAGCATCCATAAAAACATCTTTAAAAATAGTAAATTATCCACAAAAGGTATAAATATTTTTGTTTTAAAATAATTCACAAAAATTATAAAAACAACCATTAAAATAGTAAAATTTAGAGGTACGGTATTTAATTATTTATTTTGGGTAACTTAATCAAGTCCAAGTGCAAATATTTTACTTGGCTCCCTCCACACTTCTTACCAATCTCCACACCACTTTGATTTCAAAAACTATGCTATTAGAATTCCGATTACAATCTAGGTTTAAAAGAGAGGGTACTTAATTTTCATGGTATAGGTGAGAGTATTTTTAAAATATACGAGATTAAATCTAATCTCTCATTCTTGTGTTGAGTTTTTAGGGATGGAACGAATGCATAACCAAGATTCTTGGTATATCTAAGGATTCTTAATTGGTGCTGAGCTAACTATAGTGCAAAATCATTTATCTTCCATTAATAAGATCTTAAAGTTTATCCATCCCAATTTCCTTTTATATCTAGTACCATTTCTCTTATTCCAAATCACTCTTGTGACCAAGAAAGAGTTGTCAAGTCTTTGAGTGTCCATCGTATCATGTGCACTAAGTTGATCGAGACTCGACTTTACGAAATTGAAATCTGTGTCCATCTTAGTCTACCAATTTTTAGTGGCTATAAGTTTGATCGTGCGTGGTAACCATATCCCTTATTTCACTTTGTCCTCTAAATTATAAATTTTTCACTTTGCTATTGGTTTGAGTTTCACACTTCCTAATCAGTGACTTGTGTACAATTTTCATAGCAAATCAAGCCAAAAATGTTAGAAAACATAGTCTTTCCCTCCTCACTTGGGCATTTTTGCCCTGATTCGCTACGAAAAATTGTACTAAAGTCAATAATAAGAGAATGTGAAACTCAAACCAGTAATTTAAGGTGTAACATGAAAAAATAGATAGTTTAAGTGACACTGTCAAACAAGTAATGTAGTTTAAGAGATTCAAGTGTAATATGCCTGCAAAATTATTATTCAATGAGATTCAAAATTTTTGACATTGATTCAAAAAATATTAGGGTCGATCTTAAATCTTAGAATCGACTAATTTTTTTTTGTTGCAAATGAGAGACTTAATTATAGTTCTAGGAAAGTCTAATCTAATAGGGTTAATTTGATTTCTATTTCCCTTAACAAATAAGAGTATTTGTGAAATATAAATAAAATAAATTCATTGATGACTTGTTCTCCTCCTTTTGCTCTAGAAAAGTTGTCTTTTGATGATAAAATTAACGTGAACAGAGAGAAAATAAGAAAAAGATAAGTGTAAATTAAGTGAGAAAAAATTGCTGAGTCCGATGGTTAAGTTGTTTGACATTAGATGTGATGTAGAGAATATGATATTTTTTGATCGGTGAAAGAAAAAATTTGAAATAAATTTTGTATTATTAGATCAAAATAGATGAAATTATGAAAATTTAATCAATTTTAATCGTTTTTATAATTTTATAAGTTAATGATTCATCTCAAATATATATATACCCTCATAATGAAAAACACACACACACACACAGATATACATTCCCTCTTAATGAAAAACTGTGCTTAGAATGCTCAAGTGGACAGAGAGCCAAAGGCAACCCTTCCTAGTCTAGTCTCCATCACAATGTTTTCCAAGGCTAAAACCTTTTTTCCATTCTGTCTCCTCTAACCCCATCACATAACATGCACACAACCCCATGATAACCCTTAACACACACCAAACTCCATGAAACAACACACAGATTTGTTTATATTTAGTCCCAACAATTACCGACAGTTTCACGTTCGCGCCGCTTGGACCGTCGATCGAGACGCCGCTTTGGCTCATTGCCCCATAACTCTCACTGACCCTTAGAGCTCCCCCATGTCTACTCCCTCTCACCTGTTCCCCACTACCAAGCACACACCATGCCCAGTTCGATTTTTATATTTCGGTAAAATACATTTTTAATCCTTAAAATATGTATTCACTGCTTATTTGAACCCACATATTTTAATTGTATCTATTCAATTTTTAAGATTTATAATTTATATTTATGTGATCTAATCTCAAATATTTGTCAAAAAATTGTGACGATTTTGATCAAGTGTTAATCACGTAGTTGCTAATTTTAATGTCTATTTGGTCCCTAAAATTCTTAATTTTTGTCTATTTAATCTCATGTGATTGGTGCATAACCAGAGACGTAAATATTTTTTTATGGATGTTGGAAATGTGATCATACATATACAAATTAAGAATTTTAGTGATCAAATAAACATAATTAGAAGATTAGAGACCAAATCGACACTATTTGTGTATCCACTTTATCTTTTTGAACTAAAAGTTAAAAATAACTGCATTGTATTGATATAAAGTGAAAAAAAAAATTGCCGGTATATTGATCATTGAGTCAGCCCTAGTCGCTTTATAACACCCAAGTTGATTATATAAAGTGGAATAGGATAGTACTAAGGAAGATAATTTAGTATAATGACAGACTCTAATGGAGTACTTAGGGGGTATACATTCTTCCACCAACCTACCTAGGTAGTGGCTACTTTTTATATATTCGCAGGCTTTATTACTTTATCTTGGTTAATTAATCACAATCATGTTCATGTGTGTCGATTAGCTTTGTACCATTATGGAGTGGTATATGCCAAAGATGGTCGTATCCTTGGGTATTTGATTCTCCCGTTTGTAGGGTGAAACGATATCAATTCAGGATTGACAAAGAATCGTGTTGTATCAAATGCTTATCGTATTAAATTTACTCCACCCCATTCATACAAGACTAATTTATACTATCATTTCGAGTTTATTCATGTTTAACCGAGATCATATTGACCCATTTATTTGAGGTATTTGGTGTTTTAACCAATTATGATCGAATCTCATTAAGAATGAATTCATGCCACGAATTTCATGTTGATTTGAGAAATCGTAGTAAGAATTGACATCCCTTTTTATTCTCATAAGTTCTCAAATTTTTTAATTTATATAGAGGCTTCCTCATGATATCAATTTTTTCATGGGTGTCCAAATCATTCAAAACATATGGAAAATTCTCCCTGTTCTTCTTCTTTTTTGAATTCTTTATCCTCCAATGAAATGCAAACTTGCCCATCTAATAGATAGATTTAGATGCCCAAAGAAAAAAAGTAAAAGTAAGTGGATGATAATATCTATCTTGTGTCCTGGAAGGAGCCTATTTAGTTTGTTTATTTTGTTGAGCTTCTTTGGTAAACAAAATTAATAGTGTCATGAAAGATTTAAAAATTTATATTTTTTACCCTAAAAAATTATTTTTTTTAAGTCATTCCCTTAATATATCCACTGTGTTGCAATGTGGTCATTTTGTTATATTTCGTTATTTTTTTCGTCAGTGTCAACGAGGATGGTGTTTGACGAAAAAAATAACGAAAGTTAACAGAAAGGTTACGTTACAATACTTTTAATACATTTATGGTATAATGTAAAAAAATAATCTTTGAGGGTCCAAAATAAAAATTCTTAAATCTTTTAAAGTACAAAGTACAATTCATTTAAAAGCAAAATATACAACAATATTCAATACCAACAGCCTTAAGACTACACTAAGCATGCACTCAACAAAATTATTAGTTTGTTCAAGTTGAACATAAAACATAACCAGCCTCTCTTGCCCCCTTTAGGCCCTCATTAGTTATATTTTAATTACCAGGTGCATTAATGAAAAGCAAGTGTTCGGCTCCATCTGAGGCTCCTTGTCTCGGTCAACAATTAGCTTAAGATTCTTAAATTTTCATTTGATCTCTTTTTGTCACATACATATTCTCACACCCCCCTCCCCTTAGTGGTCATAGACCCCACCGGTGTGGAGTCGGACTTGAGATGAGTTGTAAAATTAAACATTGCATGAAATTTGATTCGCCCTAATCACTCTCCAGTATAATTGATACCAATTGTTAGAAGAGGCTTGTTGATATCTAGGATTTATTATGTAGGGTGAGTCTACTGTGTTTTTGCTTTGGAAAGGTTTTTCGACACTTTTAAAAAATAATTTAAAAAATTTTCTTATTATTGAGAAGTATATTTTGAATAAATATAATTTATATTTATACTACAATAAAATGTCAACAAAAGTAAAAGAACTTCTGATTGACCTTAAGAAAATAACTAATGTCTCTTATATCTTATCCTTTCATATTCCTCTCTTTAATTTCCTTCTAGTATTAATTTTAAATTAAAATCATAAATCTATCTATCTATATCTATACTACTTTTAAATGTCAAGATATATGTAAATTTGTTGATTGACTAAATTAGGCTTAACAAACTAAAGAATGACAATATTGTCTTTTTCAATTAATAAGTTCATTAATATTAT